TACCCTGTTTATTTTCTTTATTTTGCAAAAGCACAATGTTTTGTTCATATTGTGAGTGTACATTAGACCCTTTACAGATTTAAATGCTGTATTACTCTTATATGTACGTGCTTGGCCTGTATACCCAGGAGTTTCCACACTTCCTTCATGACTTCGGCGGTGAAGTGGGTTCCTCGGTCAGAGTTGACCCTTAAAGGCAGTCCGAACCTTGAGAAGATGTGGTTCATCAAAAAGCAGGCTGTCGTTTCTGCTGTATCATTGGGAGCTAGGAGACACTCTACCCACTTTGTGAATTCGCAAACCACGGTGAGGAAGTATTTGTTTCCCTGTGTTGACCGTGGTAGGGGTCCTACCCAATCTACTTGGAGGTCCGACCATGGGAAGGTCATTCCTTTCCGTTGCAGTGGTGCTCGGTGGTTTGGATTTGCCGGTTGGAACTGGCAACACACCAGGCATCCTTTTACGTACTCCGCCACGTCTTGCTGCATGCCAGGCCAGTATGCTACTTGCTTGAGCGTTTCGTAGGTGGCCTTGGTGCCATGGTGTCCAGCGCATGGTGAATCGTGGGCATGTGTCAGCATCATCCCCCTTTGGCCCTGAGGGACTACGAGCTTTGGCGCAGTGAGGGGCTCAGAGAATGTGCCCCTCAGTGAGGGGCTCAGAATATGTGAGAACACCGTCTTTGAGATGCAACATGTGCTTGATAGAGTTGAGCGTGCGGAGATCGTAGGAAGAGGCTAGGTCGGAGGTGGAAATGGGATGAGTTAATGGGTCTGAAAGGTGAGCAGCAATAGTTTGCAGTGTCGGATCCGAAGCTAGGAGGGTGAGGAGATCATCAGCGGCGAATTGAGGTGAGAGTTCAATGTGGGAGGAGGCGGGGGTTTGCACGCCAGTAGCGTGCTGGCGGCGGGTTATAGCAGCCACTGATGGGGTGGGTGGGAGGGCAGGACATGTCCAGGACTCTCCGTGTAATGCACCTGCTTTGGCGAGGGCATCAGTTTGGTCATTGAGATCTTTGTTTTGTCCTGGTTGACGTGAGTGGCCACGGACCTTTTTCCAATAAACGATCATGTCATGTTCAGTGACAATGGC